GCAGCAAAGCAGTGGAGATAAGCAATTTTGCAATGTTGATGAATTAGATGTTTGCTTGACATATAACTATTGTGATTCAAATTGCAGGTATGAGGGAAGAGAGAACATTTGGAGTCTAATTTCCCTCTCTTCTACTGCAAGTAGAAAAGGAAGGGGGGAAATCTATATTGGCATTGGTAGGATGATTGGGATCTAGGTTTGTGAGTGGGGAATATTTTGCTCTAATTATACATAGGAAAGAACAGTCATCCCATCCTTGTGTTCTATTCACCATGCAAGAATTCCATCTGCATACATACATACATACACACACACACAAACATACAGATGGGAACAATATGTATGTGTGTATATATATATATATATGAGACTTCATCAAAACGTTGCCTAGATACTGCCAATCTTACGCGGGAAAAAACCCGAATAACCAAAGATCCACATACCAATACCCGCGAGAACCTCAGAAAACACACACACACACACACACACACACACACACACACACATATATGTAATATTATATACAAAAAGGTCCTTCTAAAGCAGTGGTCGCCAACCAGTGGGCTGGGGATCACTGGTGGTCCATGAGAAAATGTTGGTGGTCCACAGAGAAATGTCACCCCCAAAGCAATTAATCCAGGCTGGCATGGGAACACGGCCCGTGGGAACACAAGTCTTGTGTCGCTTGCATTGCAAACAACACGAGGTAGTGAGGGGAGGGGGGAAGGGCAGAGGGGGGGAACTTGCCCCATTCCCCGCACACTCCTCTCCTGGTCACCTTTCTGCTTCTTTCTTCTTCTGCTTTTGGCTGCACTCAAGGAAAGCAGCAGAAGTTTTTCTTTCTCTCCCGCAAACTCCACCAGAAATGAGTCTTTGGGACCCTGCAAGGCATCCTGCTCCAAGCGGCTGTGCCAGTGCAACAAGTCTCACAAAGACTCATCTCTGGCGTAGTTTGGGGGAGAGAAAGAAAGACTTCTGCTGCTTCTGCTGCTTTCCTTGCATGAAGCCAAAAGTCTCTCTCTCTCTCTCTCTCTCTCCCTCTGAGAACGGAGCTGGAGATGGTATCCTGCGAACCCAAATAAAGAATGATTGATTGGTAGGAAAATGGAGTGGGGAATTTTCCTGCCGACTTTTTTTGGGATTTTCCCAGGATCTCTGGTCTGCGGGATTTAAAACTATGAGTTTGGTGGTCCTTGAGGTCCAAAAGGTTGCCCACCCCTGTTCTAAAGCAGTGGTGGGATTCAAATTTTTTTACTATGGGTTCTGTGGGTGTGGCTTGGTGGGTGTGGCAGGGGAAGGTTACTGCAAAATCCCCATTCCCTCCCCAGCCCAGTAACCTGCTCTCCAGCTCTGTTTTCCTGTGCAGGGCAACCAAAGAAGACCCAGCCAATCAGCTGGGGCTTGGGAGGCAGAGAATAGATGGGGGCGGGGCCAGTCAGAGGTGGGATTTGCCGGTTCTATGAACTACTCAAAATTTCTGCTACTGGGTCTCCAGAACTGGTCAGAACCCGCTGAATACCAGCTCTGTTCTAAAGGCTTGACAACTGGCAATTGGTATGTATTTATGATGGTTACAGTGTCTCAGGGTCACATGGTCAGCTTTTGTGACCTTCTGACAAGCAAAGTCAAGAGGGAAACTGGGTTCACTTAACAACCATATTACTAACTTAACGACTGCAGTGATTCACTTAACCGTGCCCAGAAAAGTCGTAAAATGGGACAAAATTCACGACTATCTTACATCCCAAAACAAATTTGGGCCTCCACTGTGGTCATAAGTCGAGGGTTACCTGTACTTTTAATGTCTTTGCCTCCTTGTTAATTCCCCATAGTCATATTTTTGGTGTACTTACTAATTATTTCATTCAGGATGCATGAAACAATGATGAAAGGAGCGGCAACTGTCAAACAGGGTTAGAACTAGTAAGTTATTATACTTTAGGAGACTGGGTTTATTTTTTACATGTAGTTGGTAAGTAATAAGACTTGGAGAAGGATTTTGCTGTGTTTGTTGAGATGTACCTGCTAGGATTCCAGAATCTGAACTTAAACAGAAAAATCCTTCTTTATTCCACTTGTGCATCTTGTTTTCTAATTTTTGGCAAATCGTTGTTTGTTATTTTGTGTGGACAGACTGGTTTGTTTTCACAGTTAGTGGCCAAACTGTCAGGTTTACTCCATGCTACCTACATACAAGAATCTGAACCAGAAATTGCCCCACAGGAGCAGATAGAGGTAAATCCTAGAGAGGCAGGAAATATATCACAGAACAATAGAGATGAATGCTAGAGAGGGATAGTGCTGCCTACACAGCAGGCATAAATCCTATAACAGTCAAGGCACATTAGCACGAGATAAGAGTCAATGGAATTCCAGGAGGGCTGGCGCAGTGATTCCAAACTGATGGTGTGTTTGACCCCACCTTCGATCTCTATCTGGTCATCTCCTATATAGACTAGTTTAATCACTACTGTTACGAGAAAATCAAAGCTGCTGATTGGTGCTGTTCAAATGGTTGGAACAGGAAGTTTCAACTTAAGATTTGACCAAGAATTTGAAAATTTTCATGTAAAATACAAGGGAGTTGGGTATGTTTAGTTGGAGATAAAAAGGCTAATGAGAGACACGATAGCAGTTTTCAAAGTTTAAAGAGCTGACAGAAAGAAGTGAGTATGGGTTTAATCTCCAGAGTTCCTGAGAGTAGGTCAAGAATCAATAGGTGGAAGTGTTATATAAAGAGACCTAAAGCTTGAAATAAGGAGGAATTTCTTGACTGTAAGAGTTACAAAGCAATGGAACAGCTTATCTTCTGGAGGCAAAGGGGCTTCATCACTGGAAGTTTTCCAACAAAAGTTGGATAGCTAGTTGGTCTAGTGGTTAAGGCACCAGGTTCAAAAGTGGGAGACCGTGAGTTCAAATCCTGCCTTACCCATGAAGGCCAGCTGGGTGACCTTGAATCACTCTCTCTCAGCCCAACACACCTCACAGGGTTGTTGTTGTGGGGAAAAGAGAGGAAGATGTATTAGATATGTTTACTGCCTTGAGTTATTTGTAAAAATAATATAAAGAAAAATAAAATAAAATAAAATAAATGGTATGAGGAGGCTCCTTCTTCTGGGTAGGGAGTTTGAAGTCATTTCAAACCCTATAATTTTAGAATTCTTCTACAAAAGGTACTAATAGCGTCATTATCAAAACAGATTAGCAGGCTGTTAGAGAATTTCTACCAATTCTAGTGTTCTGGGAGATTGTTTTTTTTTAATGAAAATACAGAACATGGAATGTAAATAAATAACATGTGAACATCTTTACTTAAAAAATACAGATTGTGCAGTTGGATATCCGATGTAATAATTAACTACAAATTTAATTGATTGGCTGATGTAAAATCCTATAAATTTGGACAACACATTTTAAAATTAGCTTTAAAAAAATACAAGCATTTTAGATGCCATGCAATGTTTTGGGAAGTATTTGGCAGACTGGAAAACTGCCATGAAAAATGGTCACGTTTCTAATTCAAAATACACTATCTAAAAATGAAATACATTTTTCTTTAAAGGTATATAGCAGAGGTGGGGAATTATGGCCCTTTTATGGCTTGCGGACTTCAACTCCCAGAATTCCTGAGCCAACATGGCGGGCTCAGGAATTCTGGGAGTTGAAGTCCACAAGTCATAAGAACATTATAGTTCCCTGCTCCTGATATATAGTCAGGCCGATCTAGGCAGCTGGAAATCAAGTGATACCATTAATTTGGGAGGCTACAATTTTTGTTTGTTTGTTTGTTTCTCAAGAAATATTGACTGTGTCTCTTGTAGGCCAGGAGTTGCGTTTGGCTGAGGCAGAGGAAGCCATGTTGCCAAAATCTAGCCTTGCAGACCCTGAACAAGGTAAGCCTGCTCTTGTTGTGGGTCACAGTGTTGACAAACGTGCTGCTGAAAATTTGAAGGCTGCTGATGAATCCATATCCAAAGTGCTAGACTGGTTCAAAAGAAGTTCCAGTACTGGTGAGAAAGAAACAGTTTTGATAACCTCTCAGGAAAGGCCGTTTGCAGAGGAGAGGGACGCCCCAAAGTCAGTGGAATGGTCTGCAATCGGAGAAGATAAAGGGTCAAATACAGATCTGCTAAATCTGAAACCCTCTCTGTATCAAAGAGGAGGGTCGATGAGCAAAGACTTAAGGCTCCAAGATGTCGTAAAGCAACCAGGACAATTATCATTTTCGGAAAACAAAAGTCCAAGCGATGTGGTCCTAGGAGACCAACCTCCTTCTAATCAAAGCAAAGAAAACGAGAATGCAACTTCTCACAATATTCATAGCATGAAGAGAACCCGTTTCCAGACCGTTGATCAGAGTGAGGAGAAGACGGATGAAAACAATCTAAAAGACATACGTGGAGACGCTGTTGAGGGTAAAACATACGTGGATTTGAAAAACTCTGATGCTTCTTTCAGAAGTGGAATGAAAAAAGAAACCAGTTCACAGATTGATGGAGAGAGAGATGTTAAATCTTTCTTGGAGGAAGAAAACATGGAGCTTAAACCTGGAGAAACTCTGAAAGATCCTACAGGAAAGGACTGCAATTTTCTAGACGCCGAAAATATGGCCCATGCCACCAATAAAAGCAACCTGGTCCTGCAACAACATGAGGTACAACAACCATCAATGATAGGAGATAAAAAAAGAGTCAAGGATGTGAAGGCTTTCTGGGAAGCTGGGAAGATGACTCCAGAGCTCGGGAATAAGGACGTTCTTAGAAATGAAAATATGTCTAATTACACAAAGGAATACGGTAGGCTCAAACCAGTACGTGGACCTTCCAGATATGTAACCAGTGAATCTGACAATGAAGAAAGTAAATATAATTTAGTTACCTTCAGAAAAGTTGAGCTAAGTGAGGAGGACTCTGAAGTGGAAGATGATGATGTTAAGTTTTCAGGAACAAGTGGGACCATCCAAGGGGATAAATCTATGGAAAGCCAAGACATTAATATAGCTAATGAAGTACTTTCAAACGACCAGAAAAATACTAAAGTTATGGGATTGTTGAATAAGAGCAATTTGCAGCCGAGTTACAAAGATATGTCATCTTCTAAAGAAAGTGAAAGGCCAAAAGTCACTGCTCTAGAAAAAAAGACTATTCTTCAGCCAAAATCTCCTTTTAAGATTCATTCACTGAAAGAAAAAATAGATGAAGAATCCAGGTCTCAAATGCTCAACCCTTCCCAATTCCAGAACCTGAGAAACTTTTGGGATACGGGCTCTAAATTTCAGAGCAAAATTGAGGAAACCACCCCACAGAGAATTGGAAATAGCCAAGCCATTTTGGATGATGGAAGATCTGGTTTTCCTCCTCAGGAAGACGGAACGAAGAAACCCATGACTAAGATTTCACACCAAAGTCCTTTAGCAGAAACCACGTTTTCCCCATCAGCAACTACAGTACCCATGCGTTTAGATTCCGTCCCAATGAGGGACAAGGACTCCTCTCTCGTGCTTCCAGAAAAGGAACAGGCAGGAATAAAAATGGTTTCACCAGAAATACAGCATAATGTTGTTCGCAGGAGTTTTCAACCAACAGTGTTGGTTGAAAAGGAGTCCCCTTGCCCTCCAAGACATGAGAAAGGGATTCCACTTGTAGAGTTAGTAGGAAAGCATCCAATAGTTCCCAATGATCAGATTCGAGAACCTGGTTTTGTCTTTCCAGATCCAAATGGAAAGGCTGGACTTAAAACAAGTGAGGTTGTAGAGATTGTAAATAGGACTTTGGTCCCACCGAAAGCTGCAGCCAGTAATGCTTTTAATGCTAGTTTGGAGAAGTTACTTGAGGAAACATCTGATCTACAGGCCTCTCTCAGGCATCATTTAATAATGGATGTTTCTGAACCAGCAGATCCTACATCAGAGAAAAGGGATTTTTTTAATAAGGTGATGGAGTGCAGCCATCATTCCTATCCCAGTGATCCAAAAGAGATTCTTTCTCAAACAGAAGGAACTGTTGAAAAACAGGACTTACTCCAAATTCAACCTGTGGAATTCACAACTAGCATGGGAAGTTTGCCTCAATCATTGGAAGAATTAAAACCTGTGCCAATGAAAGCCCCCAACAAAGAGGACAGGCAAAGGTATTTAAAGGATAATCCTGCCTGGGAAAAGAACTTGCTCTTTCCATCACTAGAGCTGATACAATCTGATATCTGTGGTGCAGCTCAGAACAGAACAGACTGTCCTCAAGATGAAGTTTTTGAGATGGTATCCAAAAATAACATCCCACCAAACAGAGAATGCAGCGATTTGAATGCCAAACTCATCAGTCTGTTGAAAGAATCGGCAACATGGCCCACTAATGAGGACATTTTGGAAGCACCGTTTGATGGTACTCCTAAAGAGAGTCAACAAAAGTCCTACCAACAGAAAGACTTGGCTTCATCCCAAACATCCAGTCATTTGAGAGAGACTGTGGGTGAGATTGTTGCGGGAAGCAAAGATACAAACAAAGATGAAAATGTCAAGATTGTCCCACAAGATGGCACAGCGGAAGCAACTGAAGAATATACACATCCTAAGGAGAGAATCCGAAGAGAATTAGCTGGGGAGCAGCCTCTGGACAAGACGGAAACAGCTGTGAAAACTATTAAACCCAAATCATGCGATCCTGCAGCATTTAGAGCCAATTTAAAACAAATACTTAATGAAGATTCAACACTTGGAGACATAGAAATTCCTAAACTTACACGATCCACATTACAGCCTGATCCATCTATGAGCTCAGTTTGTGCCAAAGATACAATGGATATTCAGGAAGTAATTGAAAGAGTAGAAAAATCTAGTGTTCCTTCCACTTCTAGACAGGATGAGTTCAAAGCCCGTTTCCAAACATTACTCAAGGAAAACTCTGAAATCTTATCACGTAGCCAGAAAATCACAGAAAGCAGCAACGAGTTGCAAATAAACAAAAAGTCTACTGAGAACAGAGATTTTATCAGTCAGCAAGAAACAGACTGTGTTCAAGAAGTCAATGAAACTGCCAACAAGACTAGCGCACCATCCGGATTTCAACAAAGTGAATTTAATTCCAGATTACAGAAATTACTTAAGGAAGCTGCTCAGGCGCCACCTTCTCCACATTCAAATCTTCCTCAAGAAGAAACCATCATGAAATCAGTTGCTCCTGCAAAAGAGGATCGGGCATTAAAATCAAATTTAGAAAAATTAATTTTGGAACATTTCAATCCTGCTTGTCAGCTGCCCACAGTCGACTGCAAGAAAATTGCCAGCGATTCAACACCTGATTTAGATGAACAAGGGTTACCTGTACCAATGCCAACATTGATGGAGACAGCGTCGAGTGATTCCCGTAGCGAATTTAAGGTCCCACTTACCGAGAAGGCCTCCAAGCAAACTGACGGAGGAGCAAAGATTTCGGAGAACGTGGCCTTCCCAAAAATATTCCATCCTAACCTAGCATCTTCAGAAACCCTGTGTCTGGAAAAAGATAAGGATTTTCCTTCCACAGCCGATAAGACAGAGGACAGAAGTATGCAACAGAAAGAAACAGAGTTTTCCACTTCATTAATTGATGCCAACAGAAGCCTGATTGTGGAGCATGCGTTGCAAAGATCAAGCACCCCCGTCTATGGAAGTCCTCTCCAAACCAAGGAAGTGGAGCTTCATCCTACTGTCCCTTCCGCTGATGATGACAACGTTGATGATGGAGGTGCCAAGAATTGTGAGTCAGATTTTTCAGAGGAAAATAAATCCATTCCAGGAAGCCAAAGAGATCCGATATGTGAGCATTTGAAAATTACTTTATTTTTATCTGGGTCTTTTTGATAAAGATGGTTAGAAAGCCCCCTGGATGCTACACGCTTATTTTTTTTCCCCCTAAAGCAAAGATGTCCAGATTTATGATTCAGGGGTCATAGTTTCCTCCATCAGGATTTAAATGGAGGTACATTTTGCACTGAATTAAGAAATGCTTTATGTATTTTCTCAGTAGTTCCAGAACATTGGGCAAAACCCCCTGTGCAGTAATCTAATTTATGATGGCTTCCTATCTTCCTTTTGTCCAATCAATTAGAAGTCAGGAATGGTAGCATATATTCTGGCTATTTTTTAAAAAATAATTTCTTTATACCTGCCAGATAGAAGTTTGGATCATTCTCCTACAAGATTAATTGCTTGCCTTAATTTGGCAGAGAGACATAATCAATATTGTAGACAGCCCCTTCACTCTGACAGCACAAATAGATGGAAATTCTAAATAGTCACTTTTTAAAAGTTCATTTTAGTTCCTCAATTTAGCAAATAGAGGCAACTTCACAACCGGAGGACAAGTAAACGGTTTATTCATACATTCCTTTTAATCAATTGGAGAACTTGACTTAAATAAGTTTTGAGTTTTAAATGTGCTCCATTATTATTCTTAGGAGAATTGTGCCAGCAAATTAATTTGGGACATGCATTTTTGTTTTTTTTACTCCAAGCAATCTTGCACAGCTGGAAAACAGTGCAATGTACTGTATTATTTTATGCTTTCTCAGCAATTCGTCCTACACCTGCTTTCTTAATATATCTGGACCACTGAGGGTGCTTGCAGAAATTCCTCCTGATCAGAACAAATGAGGAGAAACTTAAAGAGTTTCTTAAGATCAAAAGGAACGATCTTAAGAAAGCTTAAAGAAACTTAAGGAGTTTCTTAAGAACCGAATGAATGAGGAGAAATTTAAGGAGAAACTTTCTAACAGTGAGAATAATTAACCAGTGCAACAATTTGCCTTTAGAAGTTGTGGATGCTCCATCATTGGAGATTTTAAGAAGAGACTGGACAGCCACTTGTCTGAAATGGTATATAGGGTCTCCTGCTTGAGTAGAGAGTTGGACTAGAAGACCTCCAAGGTCCCATTCAACTCTATTCTGATTGAATAGTTTGAAACTTGGTAGTAGATACTGCTGTTTTCTTGAAGTTCTACTATAATTTTCGGATGACTTCCTGCTTTGCTTAGCTATCTGTTGTGTTCTTTAGCTCTTCCAACAGTTCTCAAGATTCAAAAGTTGGCTCTCGTGCCAGCCTGTGGCTGGGATCCTCTTCCAGCCAGCCCAGCTTATCACAACCTGGTCTTCATCAATCAATTTTTCAAAACCCTATCAACTCAGAGTTTCCTTCCCATAGCAACAATAACTAAGGCAACCACATCTGACTAAGCCTATCACTCAAGAAGACACGAACTTGACATTTGATAACCTGACATGAAACTACTCGTGAAGTAGCAATATTAGATAACATGAACAAACAGATAAAAAGTATTTTCTTGATAAAGAAATGGGACTCTAGAAGACATGGGATTTTACTTTTCATTATAAGGGTGGAATTGCATACAGATAATCCTTGACTTAAAACCACTTGTTTAGGGACCGTTCAAAGTTGCAATGGCAATGGCACTAAAAAAAGTGACTCATGACTGTTTTTCACACTTACAACCATTGCAGCATCCCAGTAGTCACATGATCAGAATTTCAGTGCTTGGCAACTGGTACATATTTATGACGGTTGCAGTGTTTTGGGGTCATGTGATTCTCCTTTTGCGACCTTCTGGCTAACAAAATCAATAGAGAAGCCAGATTCACTTAACAATCATCTCATTGTCATCTTTTAATGACCCCATAATCCCTTGCTGGGCGGAGTCTTGGCAACTGAATAGAGCTGAGTGTTTATTGGCCGGATGCCCTTCCTGTCTCCAATGTGGAGTTATATTCAGCAGATATATTCTCATCATGCTCAGAGAGAGAGAAAATATCTGCTTCTACCTAGGTTCGAACTCACAGCCTCCTGATTGTGAGGCAAGAGCTCCACCTCTAGGCCACTGCACCATTCCCAGATTCACTTAACAATACATGTTACTAACTTAACAACTGCAGTGATTCCCTGAACAATTATGGCAAGAAAGGTCATAAAATGGAGGCAAAACTCAATTCCCAACTGTTCGCTTAGCAACAGAAATTTTGGGGTCAATAATTGTGGTTTTAAGTCCAGGACCACCTGTCTTACAAGAAACATGGAATTGTCTCATTCAGTGGCAGTCCTTGTAAACTTCATCCAGTGAAGGGAAAAGGGAGGAAGTGAATAATGAAGAAAGTTCAGATCGCCACGAGGAGGAATGGTGATAAGGGCAGGCATTCTTATGTTCTTTGGTTTTTATTTTTAAAACCTGGATGAATGTTAACACAGGTTAACCTGGTTGGGTTATTTGTCTATGTGTTGTCCAGTGCTCATATTTTTTGTTTTGCAACAGGTTTGGAGGAAGAGCTGAATCCTGTTATGAAGGCTCTGAAAAGGAATTCAAATAGGCAAATTCCTTCTAAAAGTGTAGAGGATATACCATCCGCCACCTCAAGTGAGCAAAACCCTGACATTTTCCATGCCCTTAACGCTTCTCTTTTAATATACTTTTGTCCCAAACTGTCCACCGTTGTTGTTTTATGTTACTTTTGGAAGGAGTAAATACCCTGAAAAGTTTTCATCAAGCAAATGCATCTACAAATTTGAAAACTGCAGGAGGGATAGAAAAAAAACCTTATATATAAAGTTATTTGTTTAGTGCGATTGTTTCAGAAGCTGCAAGGTGAAATGGCTCATACCCTGTCTTGAACAATATTGTAGCTGCTTGTGGATCCAAATCCATGATGGCACATCCCTGTTTTTACTACAGGTAGTCCTTGGTTAGCAACTACTGTTGGGACCTGCAACTCCATCATTAAGTGAAGTGATTGCTAAGTGCGACTGTGCTTACAGTCGTAATTCAACTTTCCTGTGCTTGACAGACCTGCAAAGGTCACAAATGCAAGGATGGGTCAGTGGTAAAATTAATTTTTCATCATCACGATAACTATGAAGAGTTGGAGTGGTGCAGTAGCCTAGAAGTGGAGCTCTCGCCTCACAATCAGGAGGCTGTGAGTTCGATCCTAGGTAGAGGCAGATATTTTTCTCTCTCTCTCTCTCTGGGCACAATTGAGAATATATCTGCTGAACAAAACTCCACATTGGCAACAGGAAGGGCATCTGGCCAGTAAACATTCTCCTGGCTCCATTCAGTTGCCCAGACTCCACCCCACGAGGGATTACGGAGTTGTTAAAAGAAGATGATGATGATTGTCACTATGAACACTTATTACAATAGGCAGTTGCTAAATGAGGACTATCTGCACCTGTGTTTTATTTCTCTTATCCCACGTGGTGGATAATGCTGGGAGTAAGTAGGTCTTATCGGGGGATGACTTGATTATCATTAAAGCATTGCCATACATATTTGATATCAATGTTCTATACATAAATTATTCTCAAAATGTACTATGCAGGTAGTGCTCGACTTTACAACGATTCGTTTAGGGAATCATTTCAGGGGTGGGACTGAACCAGTCCTACAGAACTGGTTGTTACGATTCTACACAGTTTGGAGAACTGGCAAATGGTGCCCCTGGCTGGCCCCGCCCCTTTCCGCCCGCCTCTCCCCGCCCCGCCTAGTCAGTCCTTATCGTGCATGCCTGACATTGCTGACTGCGTTCTCCCCCGGCCCAGTATTAAGGTGTTTGTTTTTTCTTTCCCTCCTGATGATCAGCTGTGCCAGGATCCCACTCGCTGTCTTACTGTTCACCCAGGAGGCTTCCCTGAAGCCCAGGAGACAAAACAGGGTGCGCGGGGGATGGGGCAGGGGTGGACAGGTGCTGTGTGCCCCCCCCTGCGCTCCATTTTTTGCCTTCCTGGGCCCCAAAACTGCCCCTCAGGATTCTTCCCTGAGGCCCATGAGGCAAACAAATTGGGAGGGGTGCTGCAAAAAAAAAAGGAAGAAGCCATGCCCACCCAGTCACATGGCCACCCCATCTAGCCACGCCCACCTAGCCACCCCCACCTAGCCACGCACATAGAACCAGTTGTTAAAAACATTGGAATCCCACCCCTGGATCATTCAAAGTTGCAATGGCACTGAAAAAAAAGTGACTTGGGACCATTTTTCACATTCACAAGTGTGGCAGCATCCCCAAGGTCATGTGATCAAACCTTTGGAGGCTTGGCCACTGGCATGTATTTATGCCAGTTGCAGAATTCCGGGGTCGTGGAATCACCTTCTGAGAAACAACTGCAGTTGTAAATCAACCACTACCTCCATATATATAAATTGTACTAAAAATGTTGATAGATATCCTTCGCTTCTTCCTGTGGCACAGCACACGTGGTTTACAAAAGAAGGCGTTTTCCAGAACTTGGTTTTGCTCCAAATTTCATTTTGCTTCTCCCCCATTTCTAGAGGCTTCAGCCCACAAGGATTTCCTGTACAGCCGAATTATCTAATTGTCTCACCATTTTTCCTCTTGCACAGATAAAGAAAAAATAAGCCTTGCCAGGGAAGACTTAGTGCTTAGTGCTGAAGATGGTAATTATTTTATACATAGTTGCATGAACCTAACGTTCTACTTTAGTAAAAATGTATGCATTAAGTCTCGTGACTTCTGTGACAGCTAATAGCTAGGCTTTATAGCGGTTAAAATATTGCATGATTTAGACTTGGGGTGAGTCTGTGGCTTTTGGTTTAATGCCGTGTATGGAGATGGCCCTCTCAGAAATATAGATTGCTGTCCAGCTTATGTTACTCAAGTTTGAACCCACGGCCTTCAGGAGAACTCAGAGGATGTATAAAATTTGTGCCAGATCTTAAACTATGACAGGCCATCATAACTGAAATTAAAATGGACAGAACATCTCAGTGATGGGATGCTACCGGTTTGGACCGGTTCAACCAAACCGGTAATAAAAAAAAGCACACAATCAGCTGAGAGGAGGAAAAAAAAATTATCTGACAATCAGCTGAGAGGATCAAGAAGAGAAAAGAGCAGGATCGGCCCTCCCACCCGCCCCTGCGCTTTTCTCTTTTTTATCCTCTCAGCTGATTGGACCGCAGGTCTCAGCGGGTATGCAGAAAGCTGCGCGCTGCTTTAGGCAAAGCACGCCCACCAAGCCACGCCCACTGAACCGGTGGTAAAACAATTGGAATCCTACCACTGGAATATCCCTAACTTCCTAGAATATTTGACCACGATTAATTGACCAGTCAGTGATCGATTGCTTTGGAAAATTATGGTACACACCAACCAACCGATAGGAAGGCAACCACATAAATACGACGACTCACAGAACAGCCCAAAGCATGTATTTTGGAAGAGAGAAATTCTCTGACGATGAGCTCCAGCATGAGTCCAAAAACTCGGAAGAGTAAACCTGTGACCGACCCAGATTTAATCTATGATGCTTTGTATTATCCTGAAAACAAACAAATGTATTAGCTATGCTAAGTGTTGTGAAAGGAGCACCTTAACCAGTTTTTAAAAAATTAATTCGGGCTGTCCGTCTACTTAAGATTTGATTTTTTTTCCTATTTTTTTAAAAAAGTGGAAATGAAATTAGGCCTTGTAATATGCCACTTCTTCAAGAGATTTGCTCTAATTTTAACATCCAGTAGCCCCTTAGCCGTATCTCACATGGAAATATAAATGAAATGATTACAGATTAACTTGGAAATAAAATGTCTGTAGATTTTGAAGCGAAGAACAGATCCAAAGAACAGGTTTGTCTGTAAGAACTGAGGGGAACTTTGCTGGGTCAAACTAAGGACTTGTTCAGTTTTGTTGTCCAAAGGTGCTTTTTCCAAAAGGCAACTGGGCTTTCTTTGTTTGTTTTTTTTCTTTGAAAATGTTTAACTTTTTACCTAAGAAGCTACTTCAGTTTGGAGAGAAAAAAAACTGCAAGAAAGTCCAGTTGTCTTTTGGAAAAAGACACCTTTGGGACCATCATGAAGTCAATGATTGAGAATCTCCATAGTCAAAATCCTTTTGTTGTTTTTCATAAAACCAACTTTTCTCCTGTGGGTGGAAATTAGAAGCACGGTGCCTTCAATCTGGAAGGAGTTTTGAGACTTCAGGATTAATTGTACCAAAGGTGCTTTTTCCAAACTGGACTTTTTTCCTTGAAGACGTTTGGCTGCTCATCCAAGAAGCTTCTTCAGTTCTGAGAAAGTAGCTTCTAGAATGAGAAATGTCTTCAAGGAAAAGCAAAGTCCAGTTGCCTTTTGAAAAATTACCTTTGGGACAACCATGATCTGGAGGACTGAGAATCTCCATAGGCACTTAGGATTAATTGTTCTCTGCCCATTCTAAAGTTTCCTAGTCTGTTTTCAAAACCCATCCAAATTACTATCCATCATTAGATAAATAGATCCTGTCGGTTAATTGCAGCACCGTTATAATTAGAGCCTTCTTGTTAAATATAACAGTATGTTGTTTGTGGTTGCAATTTTTTGATCAGATCATCCAACTGAGCCCAATGGCAACCCAGTAAGAAGTGAATAATAAGACCCTTCCTGAAATATAACATTTTGTGACTTCTCATTATTTTATATTATACAACTAACAACCACTAATACATTTGGAGGCTGTTCTTGTGCCGCTAATGGTTTGCATCTCATAAAATAAGAACTAATTTTGCATCGCGGAGAGCCATTGTATGTTTAAAAGCAAGTTATGGTGCCATTTGCCATCTGAAAAGTAACAACCAGCAAACAGAAGGAAACGAACGGTAGCAAGTATGAGAATGAGCTAGTAATGAGAAGGAAATAGTAATCTGATTGTGAAGGATGTATGGCTCATTTGCAAATGTGGTCGGGAATTTTGGGAGAGATTGATACAGCCTGGATTCCAGAGAAGGATCAGGAAAGTATTTTGAGATTTTTAGAGTCTTGATGGATACAGGGGACATTTTTTTGTTTGTAGAAAACTTGGTGACCACTGAATAATTGCAGCATTGCTAAGCTTTATAATTTTTTCCCCCTCTTCATCTGCCGGAAATGGATGATGAAAGTTCAGTTTAAGAAAAAGAAAAAAAGAAAGAAAAGAAAAATACCCTTTCCCTTTCCTCCCCCCCTTCTTTTAAAGGTTACATAATGGGAAGGAATATGTCAAATTATGAGTTAAGGATTGCATTGAGCAATTCTATGTTGCAGTGTCTGGCTACTCCAAACGTTAAATAATTAAGTAATAGACAGGTAATCCTTAACATATCACGGTTCATTGAGTGACTGTTCTAAGTTACAACAGCATGGAAAAGAGTGACTTATGACCGTTTTTCACACTTACGACCATTGCAGCATTCCCATGGTCCCATGATCAAAATTCAGGCGCTTGGCAACTGACTCATATTTATGAGGGTTGCAGAGATTCGTTTAACAACTGTGTCGGGAAAGGTCATAAAAATGCGGCAAAACTCATTTAACAACTGTCTTGCTTAGCAATGGAAATTCGGGGCTGAATCATGGCCATAAGTCGATGACTACCTATACTGAACATCCATCACTATCCGTTTCCAAGGGGTACTTAAATACAGGTGGTCCCTGACTTGCAACCATTCATTTAGTGACCGTTCAAAGTTACAACGGCGCTGAAAAAAAAGGTTACCTAGAACTGGTCCCTCACCCTTACGATTGTCATAGCATCTCCAAGCTCACATGATCAAAATTTGAGCTCTTGACAGCTGTCATCTATTTACGATGATTGCAGCATCCAAGTATCATGTGACTGGCATTTGACAAAGTAGACCATAACCTACTTCTTGGGTAGCTAGAAAAAAGTGGGATAGATAGCACCACCACCAGATGGACTCGCAACTGGCTGACAAACCATACTCAACGGATAGTCCTTAATGGGTCTAAGTCTACATGGAGGGAAGTAAGCAGTGGGTGCCACAAGGTTCCATCTTAGGCCCAGTACTCTTCAATATCTTCATTAACGACATAAATGAGGGAATAGAAGGGGAACTTACCAAATTTGCAGACGATACTAAGCTGGCAGGCATAGCTAATATCCAAGAAGATAGACTCAAGATCCAGATGGATCTTGACAGACTAGAACCCTGGGCCGTATCTAACAAAATGAAATTCAGTGTAGAGAAAAGTAAAGTCCTACATTTAGGCAAGGAAAACCAAAAGTACATGTATAGACTGGGTGAAACCAGACTTAACAGCAGTAATTGTGAGAGGAATCTTGGAGTCTTAATGGACAGCCAGCTAAATATGAGCCTGCGGTGTGCAGCCGCCGCCAAAAAAAGCTAAGTTGCATTAACAGAGGGATACAATCAAGATCAAGGGAGGTACTAATACTACTCTATAAAGCCTTAGTAAGATCACACCTAGAATCCAGTTTTGGTCGCCACACTATAAAAATATATATTGAAACTCTAGAAAAAGTACAGAGAAGAGCAATCAGGATGATTAGGGGACTGGAGGCTAAAACATACAACGAACGGTTGCAGGAACTGGGCTTGGCTAGTCTAGTAAAGAGAAGGACCAGGGGAGACATGAACAAGGAGAGAGAGAACCTGGAAATAAGGAGAAACTTTCTGACAGTGAGAACAATTAACCAATGGAACAGCTTGCCCTCGGAAGTTATGGGAGCTTCATCACTGGAGGCTTTCAAGAAGAGATTGGACTGCCATTTGTCAGAAATGGTGTAGGGTCTCTTGCTTGGGCAAAGGGTTTGACTAGATGACCCACAAGATCCCTTCCAACTCTGATTATCTGTTATCTGTTATCTGACTGCCACTTGCAACCTTCCCATCTGGTATCCTACAAGTAAATGGGGAAAACTGGATTTGCTTCACGCTGACTTGCTTAATAACTGTAACAAAAAAGGTCATAAAATCCACCGTGACTCACTTAACTGCCTTGCTTAGCCACAGAAATTCTGGTCCCAATTGTGGTTGTAAGTTAAGGATTACCTGTACCTGGGATGCAATTACATTTAAAATTAATCTTCAGTGTGTCATGATGAAGGTTAGCATCCCATTTCCCTTCTGTTTTGAAGCAGGAAATAGTCCTGAAAAATCTTAATGTGCTTTTAAAAAAATGATAAACTCCTGAAAACCCTGGTATTAAACTTCCTCTTTACCTCCTTTTTTTGATTATCCACGACCTAAATTTTCTGGTAAAATCTTTAAGTTTAGTCCATTACATCCAAAAGATCCTAATTTAAGGACAAAAGTAAAGAATTGGTTACAGGAAATTATTGGTCTCCAAACTGAGTTTAAATCTGAACTGTTTCTATAAGGAATAATTAAGAGGAGATTTTAATAAAGCAACTAAATATATCGTAGTACATATACTGACTGTGGCAAGAATTCCTTACGCACAGAGTTAGAAACTAGATAGTACCCCCTCTGAAAGTATGATAATAAAGAAATTGATGGGTTGTGCAGAGATGGTTAAACTCACAATGGAACTGCAAGATAGAGAAGATATGAAATATGATACAGTCTGGGATATGTGGTACTGTATAACTGGTTAGACAGTAGAAATAAAAATTAATGTATTTATGTATGTTGACTTAAATAGAAATGTCAGTGTCACAGTGTTGCAAAGATTGTATATGAGTTTTTAAATGTGGAAAAGTACAAAAGTAAAAATTATGAAATTAAAAGAAAGACCCTGATTTAAGAAGTGTGTTGAACTTGGACAAGGAAAAGTAGAATTCAGATCATCCCGTGATAATATTCAATTGGATAGAGGCTTTTTTTCCCCACACAGAGGCATATTGGTAACTGTTCAATAAATGGATAAATTTATAAACCAGGCTTGCCACAAATTCTTGATTTATTTAAAATGTAAGTTCTGGTATAAATGATCTCTAAACACCATCTCATGGAGCTTTGCTTATATCACATGAGAGAATTCTCGTGGGCCTATATTACTGTAGGTGTAAGAATGGAGCAATGGTAAAAAAATTATTTATTTTAGATGAGTTTTGCAAAACCCAGAAAGAAGTTGTGTAGATCATGAGTTATGTTATTACTTTGAGCTTCTTTGCAGCAAACTTTGCTGGTTTTATTAAACGTAACTTGCACTTACACGTTTTTGAAGCATGCTTTTAGTTGTTTTTTAATTCTTCCAAGAACACTTTATGAGTCAGTCTTTTTAGCAAGACTAGAATCTAATTAGCTTTCTCCATGTGAATTGCTGCTTTTTAGTTTCCACAGCACCTTCTTTCTCCGACAATCAGTTTTCGCGTCCGGAAAAAATTAAGATGATGAGCAAATCGGTCCCAGCTTTCCTTCAGGATGAGGCAAGTTTTTAATCTCTGTTTAAGAAAAACCATAATGTTGATTTTGCTTTAAGATTGTGCTGTTTTAGTAAAATACATGGCAACTGTGGGTAAAGAAATGAAGCTTGCAGATTTCCTTCTATTGCAATCAGTTTGAATATTGTAAGAAAGAAAATGATGGAAGGATAGCTTGGAGAATCCTATTAAGAAAGCAGCATTTTTTCTTAGTGGTTCATAAATAACATTTTATGCATCTGGACCTGTCGAACAACGGCTTTCACACTTCCTTTTCTCTATAGGAGTTGCAATGCAGGTTTTTTGACAGGACAAACTAAAAGTGTAACTTGTATTGTAAAAATGCGTATTTGACTACAAAACAAAGCAGCCCCCTCCGATTGCTTTTCATCCAGTTAGAATACTTAGCAAATTGTCACCCTATTATATCACTTACCCAATTATTTCTTCAATTATTCATTTCAGGGGTGTCAAACTCGCGGCACGTCGTCATGTGACATATTGCAAATTTCCCCCTTTGATAAACCGGGTGGGTGGGCGTGGCCAGCGTGTGACACATCTGGCTCGTGGGCCGCGAGTTTGACACCCGTGATTTATTTGGTTACTTGGTTTATATGGGGTTCCAGACACAACTGCCTTTGAGGCAAGGCCATCTTACTCTTAACAGCATTATGGGACCCGGGCGAAGCCGTGTACTGGGGCCCCTACAACAACTAGTCACAGGAATAAAAATGAAATTAAGCATATATTTATTTTATTGGCACTTCCAACAAAATCAAATCAGTGTTAATTTCTGTTAATGCATGTTGGTATTAATTTAAAAAAACCACAGTAAAATGTAATAAATATGTTGCTGTATTTATATGATCCAAGGTGCATTGAAGGGTTAACATACACAGATTAGTATGGGGCTCCTATGCTCATGGGCTCACAGGCAAGTACCCATCAGGCCTGTGCCTTAAGACAGCCCTGCTTTGAGGGGCTTACAAATGAGTAACTAATAAACAGATTACATTGATATGCGAATTGTATCAACATTTTGCAGCGTTGAAAGAGAACCCACAGTTAGAAGAGATTCACTCAGAAGGAGGGAATAAAACAGTCCCTCTTAAAACGTCCAAACTTCATTGCCATAAACTGTGGTTTGCAAATGCTACTGGCTATGATTCATAGAATGCACTAAGATAGACCCCAAGCAAGCCACAATACGTAGAGGAAATCCAACGATATTAATTCCTAGATATAGGGAGTCCCTTGACTTACAAGCATTCATTAAATGATGGTTCAAAATCACAACAGCACTCATAAAAGTGACTCATAACCGTTCCTCACGCTTATGATCAGTATTCCCACGATCATGTGATGGAAATTTGGGTGCTAGGAAACCAATTCAGGATGGTTGCACTGGCAGCATCCTGGAGTTATGTGATTGCCATTGTCAGGATTCCGGCAAGTTACTCCAGTTAAATCAGGAGCCTTGAGCCACACTCCCAAAACTAAAAAAAAGATTTATTTGAAGGTAACATTCTATGTCCGGCATTTACCTGGGCGTAGCCAACTCTGAGATACGTAATTCACTGTCACCCTTGATCCTGTTTCCCCACCCCACCCCTCTGGGTGTATCATCCAACGAAAAACATCCATAGCCAAGAGTCATCAATCATGCTCTCCAATTAGATTTTTGTGCAGCAGAAGCTTCAGTCATCTAATCAGTCTTTGAAGAAAATATGAATGGAATGTACTTTCGATTCTACACTGCCGCCTGCTCTTTGAAAATCCACCCCCCCCTTCTTTCTGTGGTCAGCTATAAAACGTGTATACAAAATGTTTTATGAGTTGACAGCCATTTGCAAACTTCCCAGCTGGCTTAATGACGACTTAACTTTTGTTTAATGATGACTTAACTGCAGTGATTCACTTAACAACCCTGGCAAAAAAAAAAAGGCTGTGAAATTGGCCACGACTCCCTTAACAACTGCCTTCCTAGCAACCAAAATTCTGGCCTCAATTGTGATTGAAACTTGAGGACTACCTGGGACATGGACCATAGAATCTCTGGAATTAGAAATTATTCAATCTCTGGAATTAGAAATTATTTTCTTTCCTCATAGGATCAGATTGGACAAAACCCGAGGATTTGGTTCCTCTGTTCCATACGGACAGATGGCCTTTTTTTAAAAAAAAAAGCCCAGAACGAAATCAAGGAATAATAATAATAATAAAATACACCACGTCACTAGTCTTATCTCCGCCACTAGCCAGTGAAACACGGCAGCTGCCCTCTTTTCCTTTAAAATCAATCCAAGTTTGTTTGAGGAGGGGAAAGTTGTATCTCCTGAATGCACCAACTAAATTCCTTTCTGTTGTTTTTTTTCATTAAGGGCCGCCTAAATTATTGCATGCAAATGATGCATGCCACATTAACCTGATATGGCTAGATCCCAGACTCGGGAATCTTGGCAGAGCTGTTTGTTTTCCTTACCACTTTGCGAACATCTTTGCAGACTTTTCATTCTCTCCCTTTTGTGTGATGTTTTGTAGAGCGATGACAGAGAGACAGATACAGCATCAGAGAGCAGTTACGTACACGGGAGAATCACAAAGAGCCCGAGTTCCCTAACCAATCTTAGTGGCTCTTCTGGCTTGGCATCCTTGTCTTCTGTATGTAAACCAAAATTCTAATTAATCATGCTGCTTTTACTAATAGTCTTCTCTGACTTCTTTGGGAGTTAATGCTTGGTGCCCTTATAAAGGATCTCGGTTAATTATTACAGGTAGTCCTTGACAAAGGTTTGTTTAGTGACTGTTTGAAGTTACAATGGCACTGAAAAAAAGTGACATGACCGTTTTTCACACAATTGTTGCAGTGTCCCCATGATCAAAATTCAGACACTGGGCATCTGACTCATATTTATGACAGTTGCAGTGTCCTAGGGTCGTGCGATCACCTCTTGTGACCTTCTGACAAGCAAAGTCAATGGCAAAGCCAAATTTACTTAACAACTAACTTAATAATTGCAGTTATTCACTTAACAACTATGCCATATTTCCCCGAAAATACAACCTACCCCAAATGTAAGTCAGTAGTTTGATTTTTGCACATGCACCCAATATAAGCCCGACCTCCAAAATAAGCCCTAATTACAACTATGGCAAGAACGATCTTAAAATGGGGGCAAAATTCATTTAACAAATGTTTTGTTTAACAACAAAAAATTGGGTCCAATTGTGTGGTCGTAAGTCGAGGACTACTTTGTACGTCTTTGGGTTTGAAAATTTGGCCAATTTTGTTTGAGTTGGAAAATTAAGGATGGTGGGACAACACAGAATCACAGGATAGAAGTCCAAACATCACTGAGGAAGCGGCAAAAGATATTTCTGTTATGTTGCAAAGAAAATTGTAGTATGACGTCCAAGATTTTATGTCCAGAACCTGAGCTTGGTTAGAGAGTCTCATTTTTATTTTTTTCCTTTTCAAAATCTCATCCAAGTTATTTTTTCAATTTTATTTTTGGAAGGTCCTTTCATTAGGACCTCCAGAGTACTTGTTGGCAGCACTGTTTTTAGAAACTGTGAAACAAACCATAACTAATTTCAATTTTTGTATGGTTTATTGAAGACAATGGCAAAAAGCCACAGGGGAATTTATTCTGGTATGCTGTGACCATCCAGAAAACCAAAATGGGAATCCATGTTCAGAATGTCTGAATTTGTGAATTAATAATAACCTCTCCACTAGCTATTGCATCATGAAGACATGTTGAATTTTTTAAATTCTGTATTGTTGTAGAATTCTTTCTTTAGCAAATCTTGATGAAGTTGACCCAGAGGCATGGTAATAAAGAAATGCACTTGCATTTCGAAGCCAGAATTTTAAATCATCATCTCAACCTCGAATTTGAATTGAACATCTATAAAACGGGTCTTATATTACCTTGGTCACTATATTGCTTTTGGAGAATAAGAGACTTGAAGATTGTCAAATAAATGCTAAGACAACATTCTAAACGTTAGGTAAAGATAAAGGTTCCCCTCGCATGTATATGCTAGTCATTTCTGGCTCTAGGAGGCAGTGGTCATCTCTGTTACAAAGCTGAAGAGCCAGTGCTGTCTGAAGATGTCTCCGTGGTCATGTGGCTGGCATGACTAAATACCAAAGGCGCACGGAACGCTGTTACCTTCCCACCAAAGTGGTTCCCTATTTTTCTACTTGCATTTTTTCCGTGTTTTCGAACTGCTAGGTTGCTAAGTCAACTAGGTTGGCAGAAGTAAAGGGAGCTCACTCCGTTATGCGACGGTAGGGATTCGAACCGCTGAATTGCTGATCTTTCTGATCGACAAGCTCAGCATCTGAGCCATTGAGCCACCGTGCCCCATGATAAATGTTACCAATGGATAATAATATAGTAGTTCTGGGCACAAACGTCCAAAAAATGAGTAAAGAAGGCAACATCAAAAGCAAAACCAGTTCTACTTCGGTACTTATTATTAATTGGTTCCAAGAGGTGCGAAGAGTACCAAAAAGGATGAGTACCAAACAGTTTTTCTCATAAGGAATAATGCAATGAATCACAAGGCAGCTGACAGCGACAAATATTAACTTGTGTGTAAAAGAAATGATGAGCACCAGGACAAAATTTTCATGTCAAAATGTGTTGAGTAACAAATTCAATGAGATCCAAAGCAGTTCAATACCAGGGTACCACTGTAGTAGAATTTCAAGAGAGGAGCAGATGAAATACCATGTTTCTCCAACAATACGGCCTCCCCCAATAGGAAGTCCCAGCGTGTTTTATAGGCATAAAATGAAATTAAGGCCCTCCCCCCAAATTAAGGCCTATACTAAAACATGCGAAATGGGGGGAAATGGTGGGGGGCTTGCTGTTAGGAGCGCCTCATGGGTATCTGTGCCTCGCCACCAACCTCCCTACTGTCACCAAGTGCTTTTGCTGCACACCCGGATATGGTGCTGCCTGCATTGACCTCGGCATTGGTGGGGCACTTCGTATCAGGAGACCTTCTGCCACCGTTGCTTTCCCTTCTCCCGGTGCTGCTGTGGCATTTGGAGCAACACCGAGGCGTTTGGCACAGCCACGCAGCGTTTGGTGCAGCCACACAGGGCCGGCCAAGGCTCCTCCCTGCAACTGGAGCCTGATGGAGACACTTGGTTTCAGGCGCTCCTGTCGCTGCCTTCCCAGGCATCATTTGAAGGCAAAGCCCATTCTTTTAAAAATGATGCCCTACTACGACAAAGCCTCCCCTGCCCAAGAGGGCAGCCCAACCCCACATGGGCCAGGCGGGCTGGGCAGAGCAGGGAAAGTGAGCCACGGGTCTGCCGGGCTTTCCCGAGTTTGGCTTCCCAAGTCCCTCCAACCCGACCCCGAAGGGACCACTGGGAGAGTACGCCTGAGGCAGTGATGGGGTCCACCCATCCACAGACAGGAGGCGAGGTGATGGCAGCGCTGCTTCCCTGGCCAGCAGGTCTGGTGGAGAGAGCCCGAAGCCGCCCATCCTTTCCACCCCTTGCCCAGACTGTCCCCGTCTCCATGCATCTCCAAACGTGCCGGCAGCTCCAAATGCTGCAGCGGCATGGGTATCAAGCAGAGGCGCTCACTCGGTGGGGCTTAGCTCAGAGGAGGATGCGGCGTGGGCCATCACCTTGCCTCTCTGTCCACGGATGGGTGGGTGCTATCACTGCCTCAGGCGGCCTCTCCCGGTGGCCCCTTTGGGATCGGGCTGGAGGGGACTTGGGAAGCCAAGTTCGAGTCTGCCTGACTCTTTCACTTGGCAGGTGGGCGCGTACCCGTGGCTCGCTTTCCTGGCTCTGCCCAGCCTGCCTGGCTCCAGCGCGGCCCTGGTGGGATGAGCGGAGGGCCCGGCAGGGAGGGACTCGCTGCCTTGGCCAGAACTCCACCACTGGGCAGGAGGGCCTGCCTGTCAGCTGCGCTGGGCGCCCCAGGCGAAGCTCTTTGCGCTCTGCCTGGCGCCAGGCAGGGTTGGCAGCTGGGCGCTTCTCCTGGGGTGGGCCAATCCTGTGCTGTGGCCCTGGGAGATTCGTCTGCCCTCTCAGGAAGGGGAGGCTTTGTCGTAGTAGGGCATCGTTTTTAAAAGAATGGGCTTTGCCTTCGAACGATCCCTGGGAAGGTGGCGACAGGAGCGCCTGAAGCCAAGTGTCTCCACCGGGCTTTGGTTGCAGGGAGGAGCCCTGGCCGGCCCCGTGTGGCTGCGCCAAAAGCCACATGGCTGCGCCAAATGCCAAACGCCACGGTGGCATGGGGAATAAGGAAAGCAATGGTGACAGAAGGTCTCCCGATACGAAGTGCCCCACCAACGCCGAGGTCAACATCCAACCAGTCGCCGCCCGCCCGCCTGAGGATGCAAGG